ATATTAAAACTTTGCACTCTCTAACTTATCTGTCTTATTGATTTCTAATTGTCGCAGTTTTATAAGCGTTCAGTAGCGCAATGTGAGATTGACGTGCTCTCGCTGGTTCATTCTCTTATACTTTCTATAAATGAGACAGACCTTCATCATGTCAAGTCAGGTCCATGTAATGCTAGCTGCATAAGGTTTTATCTGGTAAAGCGTCTTAGGCTCTCCGGTCATAATGCTGCTGTTTGTGTGTCAAGGTGGCAGCGTAGCAGCAAGGTCCCTGGAGGTAAGCCCCTGAAATGTAATTTTTTGTAGACCTTTAGGGTGGGTATGACTGCTAATGTTCATGGACCTTTAAATGATTGAATATGCTATTGTCTTGATGGAAGTAAAACAAACTTATTTGAATTAATACTTTCAAGATGTCCTGGATTCTTTGTGTGGTGTTTTTTGGGTGTTCTATTCATGTTCTGACCTCCCTATGTTTTACGTTTGTTGTTTGTGTTTTTTTGGTGCATAAGCACTGCAGTGGATTTTCAAGTAACCTTTTTTCTGCTGCATCTGTCACCCATACCAAAATGCATGAACCATGAATGGAGCAAAAACAACTTCTGCTCTCTTATTCATACTCCATAGTTTATGAGTTCTACAATGGGATTGATATCCTTGAAAAAGAAATTATTTTCTAATATATTGATGATAACAGTTTATGAAGTTATGATACTCAACATGATCTAAAGTGGTAGAGTCTGGCATCTGTATACCATGTTATGTTTAAATTAATTTTTATGATAACCTCTTCTGAAGTCTTCTAATGTCTTGCCTATATGTATGCAGGAGATCATGAATATATTGATGTGGAAGATTGCAACAACAGTGGATGCTCCGAACGTTTGATCATTGATGTTGACTTTCGAAGCCACTTTGAAATAGCTAGAGCAGTTGATTCCTATGATCGGATACTGAATTTACTTCCAGTTGTTTATGTTGGCTCATTGACCAGGTTAAAACAGTTTCTCCCAATCATGGTTGAAGCTACTCGTTCTTCTCTGAAGCAAAATTCAATGCCTCTTCCTCCATGGCGATCACTTGCTTATTTGCAGGCAAAATGGAACTCACCATACCAGAGGCAGTTCACTCCAGTTGAAGACAATCTTATATGCAGTACTTTTCCCAGCAACAAACAGTGCAATGGACATTTAAAAAGGCTTCAATCTTCGCTTCATTCTGAGATTGAAGCAGAGCGAATGTTGAAACCCAAAAATAGTGATAATGGCTGGAGGCTGAAGTTTGATAGGAGGAGGCCCTCATAATTCCGGGCTGTTTGACAAAGAATTTTGCCTTAGATGCAAATCAAAATTTTGTCCTTGGATGCGAGTTACATTTTTGAGAATATTTGTATTGCGGCTTTTCTTTTAGTAATTTTTTTTCCTGAAGATCAAATAAGTCTATCCCAGAATGAAAGGAAAGGTTCATGTGGCTGGCAGCAATCACACGCCATACTTATTCTGGAGGCATCTTTTTCCCATCTCAAGCTGGGGAGCCATACATTTTCTTTCACTTTTTGACTGGCAGTGCGTGATGGTATGAGGTTTCAAGAAATCAGGGGCAGCTGGTGAATGATGAACAGATTCTACAGCTGTCAAGTTGCTTGGTACTTGCTTTACTAGCTACGTATGTCATCATAATTACTATAAATTTTGCTTGGTTTTGTTTGAGTATCATCTTGAGTGATTCCTTGCCTTGTATTTTTTGGGCACAGGGATCTTTTTGTCATGTTTTTTGTTCCTTCTCATTCCAATATGTGGTTTCAGTTTTGAACATCTAGCTGCATATCTCGTGCTGGCTGCTGCAATAAAAATATATATATGTTTCTGAGTATTCATACATATCAAATGATAGTATTGTAGTTATCATCACTATGTTCTATTGTTGTTGACTTTGATTTCATCTGTCAATTGCTTGTTTTAGAAGATCACAAAAGTAATTGTATGCTGTGCACGAGATTAGAAATTCACGGTTTTAAAAAGAGAAGCATTGGAAATGTATTTATGAAAAAGTTTGATAGTCTAGACTGAAAAACAATATTCTTGCGTGTTCATCTATGCTCTGGTTATGTCCACGTTTCTACTGATGGAGGAACATATGAAGCAGTTATGGCAAAAACCTCTTATTGGCCCTTTTACCTTACTAAATTTGTGGGTTTTAGCTTTTTTCTTTATATTATGATATTTTTAACTTTTTATTTATTAAAACTAAAGAAAATAGTATGATTACATTATTATATTTATTTATTTTTTATTATTTTTATAAAATTAATACTTTACTGTAATATTGTCCTTACTAGATTTGTGGGTTTTAACTTTTTTCCTTATATTATGACACTTTTAACTTTTTATCTATTAAAACTAAAGAAAATAACTCTCAGTGTATAATATTTCGTTAATTTTGTTAATTGATTATTAATTCTGTTAGTTGAAAGTAAATTTTTATCAATTAATAGTCAACTAATAATCAATTAATAGAGTTAATAATCAATTAATAAAATTTAATTTGTTAGCTGACTGTTAACTCTATTAATTAAACGTAGATTTTTATCAGTTAACAGTTAGATAATAGTCAATTAATAGAGTTAACATTCAATTAATAAAATTAATAAAATATTATAAGTAAAGATTATTATTTTTAATTCTAATAGATAAAGAGTTAAAAGTGTTATAATATGAGATAAGAGATTAAAACTTATAAATTTAATAAGATAAAATGTTGAAAATAAATTTTTGCCAAGCAGTTGTATACAATCGTCAGTGTAATGTATGAACAATTTATTTTGGGCTCCGGAATTTGAGAGCCTACGTACGGTTCTTGCGAACAAAAAAATTATATGTTGCCGGCAAAAGGGTTGGGGTAATTTTATGGTTCGATATTCGGTTTGGATTGGACCGTCTGAAACCAAACTGAATTTTTGGTTATTTAAAAAAATTTCAGATATGATTTTCATACAAAACTCAAACTAAATATTTGATTTGGTTATAATTTTAGATAATGTAATTAATTAATTAATTAAGATAACCAAAATTTTTATATATTAATATTAACATATCATTATTCTTCACCTTTTTTTTTATTAAAAGCATGTTATTTTTAATTTTGATTTTTTTTTAGGTTTTTGTCTATAAATTTGATTAAAAAATTCTATTTAAAAAAATATACTGTAATTATTAATATTAATTTTTTTTTGATAATTTGATAGCTTATATTAATCATTTCAAATATGAGTCAATAACTATATTCAAGCTAAAATTAACTTTAGTTACTTCAATTTTATATTTAAATTTATTTAAATTATTCGAACTAAAACTCAAAAATTTGAGTAAAAAATTTAGATACTTCGGCAATTGTACATAAGCAGGAGAAGTAACTAAAGAAACTCAAACTTCAAACGAGCTTGCCCATGGTTAATAAACCAAAGGATACATAAAAACTATATTCTATTAATTATTGTTTATCATTGTAAACTACAGTCCCAGAAATTTAAAAACTGCCACGGTTAGATAGAGACGATGACGATCCAGTTGTGGAGAAAAGCCAGCTGAACCTGCAATTCACCAAATTAAAACAGTAGAATGGAGTAATCTACACTGAATTAGAAGGAAAAAGAAAAAAGAAAATTAAATAGAGAAGAACAGGAAGGAAAAACAATTAAACTCCCAACCTTCTGATTTACATGTCTAGAAGGACCAATCCAGATTGCTCCCACGCATGAAGAACTTCGTATTGGGTGCGGTATATACGTCCAGACGGATCATAATAGCACTGCATCACAAATGAATGAATGATTTAAAGTTTTAAACCCTTTTTCCTTAATTTGAAGATCTTTAGGAAAGAAATCAAATGATCCAAAAAATGGTTTTTTTTTTTTTTTAGTTTAACTTCTTGAGCAAATTAAAGAAAAAGAGAAGACAGTGTGGTGATGAGGTGACGAAGGTGTTAGTTACCTTATAGACCCTCCCGGAGCCGACGACGCGCTCCTCCGCTATCCAGCCAAGCAGCAACCACCCATTTCCGGGGGAGTTATTATCTAGGATATAGCGTCTACAGCCTGGTTGAGGCCCACTTCTTCCTCTCAGCTTCATGTTCCTAAAGGTAGCCCTAGACAAGTTCGACAACTTGGGAGATACAATGAAATCGTCCTCTACAATAAACCCACCGTTGTTAGCTTGGACAACGTTAGGCTCCCCGTGCTCCATCACTAACATCAGTGCTTGAAGGGAATGAGGAAATGGGTTGGAGAGAGTTGGGGGAGGAGGAGAGGCAGGGCTTGTAGTATAGTGAAAACACAAACGTCTTAGTTTGTTTGCTTTTATAGCGATACATTTGGGTTCGTCGAGCTTTTTTTGCACATTTGCTCTCACATTTTTCTATCTTTCTTCCATTTGATCCCAAACTATCTTTTATTTTTTTGCTTTTGCCCGAAGAGGTAGGTGAGGTAGAATTGTGTTGATTTGATTCATTTACTTTTATTCTTTTAGATTGACTGTAAATTAATTCATATAATAGCTAGCTATGGAGTTCTTGTGTCATTATTTAAATTTTTTTTACTAAAACAACACCAAGAATTCACGATCTCCTTTATGTATACTAATTAATTAGATTTTATGCATGTTACATGAGAGGTAGATATTCCATGATAAGTTTTTATTTGTTAGTTTCTTGATCTCTTTAATGAGAGTTTGGAACATATCAATAAAGACAACAAAAAATAACGAACATAGAATACACGTGCATGGTTGATTCTTAAATTATTCCCTTTTCATCATTTGCATATTTGCCTTAAATTAAAATTAGAAAGAGGAAATTTAGCAATAATCTTTTGATCATATTGTTAGGTTTGTTTCACTTCAAGTTTTTGCAAATTAGTAAAGAGATAAAAATTAAAGGACAAAAAATTTGATGTCTAACTTAATTTAAATTAATCACTTTTTGTGTTGCTTCTTAGCTATTTTTTTAATAAAAAAATCATATATAGTACAATATTATAACCTTCAATAAAATTCAAATGAACAATTAAGGTATTATGTTAATTTTGATCTTGTGCTTGTCTACTTGGATCACAAATTAGACAAACAAATGTGATTTGTTATAGCTATTAACTAAAATAACAGACAACCAAATAATTGGAAACTAATTAATTAATTATTGTTATTGAAAACGTGTGCATGACGTAATGATTATTTTGTACACAAAAAAACAACACAGAGTAATCACTGAAATTGGAAGGTGAAGATTAAGAAACATTATTTACAATAATGATGGGTGATAAATTTTAGAAGGTAATAGTTAGTCTTCACTTCATTGGCAATACCTCTTTATTACCATGGAGTCTAAAAAGCTTAGAGGGGAAAAAGATTGATGGGAAAAATGGAGAGGGTTTTGAATTGTTAGACTTCTTTGAAAAATACTAAGAACTAATGGGCCTATAAGACCTTAAAAAAAATGAGGGGGGGGTCTTCTGTAAATTTCTAAATAGGCTGGACATTAAGGTAAAATAAAATTACTAATAAACTACCGGATTCTGAAATAATGACGGGAGGTAAAAATGGCAAAAATCCAAACAGCTTTTGGGTGTCACTAATGCTGGACTCTTCTCTGTCCATTAATTATATAAGCAGTTTATGTAGAGAGAGAGAGAAAATGAGATATGTAAAAATATGGCAATCTTCGTGTTTTTCTCCTGTGCTGAGTAAACTTCCAAAACTGGCTTTTGTAATTATCTAAAGATATATTACTAAAATTTTTTAGCTTGATTTTTAAAAAATTAAGGAAAAAAATATGTCAAAATTTTTTTGTCTTAAAATAATTATTTTATTTATTTTTAAATAATTATTATCTTTTATTTTAATTTATCTTAAATTAATTATTTTTTATTTTTTAAAATAGACATATTTTTTTGACTTTAACCATACTATTATTTATTCATTTTAACTAATTATCTGATTATGAAAAATTTCTCTTTATCTTTTATTTTTTAAATGGTAGTATACATAAATACAAATATTATTCTCAAAATTTTAATTTAAAAAAATCAAAAAATAATTATTATTTTGAGATAAAAAGAATACA